GAAGATTTTGTAGGGTAGAATCATTTGGCAGTAAAATGGCAGAAACAGACTCATCTTAAAAGCTGCTCAGCCAAGCCATACATGATATCAACAAATGTCTTAAAAGTGGGCACTAGAAGGGTCTTAACATAATGTCTCCCAAGTTTCTAGAAAATTTTTAAAGAAATTTTGAAGGGGGGGGGGTCACCTACTGCACAGAAATATGTCAGGCGTGTTATGAATTAGCAGCAAACAGAAAAGCTTAATTCCTGTCTAGAAAGAGAGCAGAATGAAGCCAAAGTTCACAGCATAGGCTGAAAAGTATTAAATTAGCTGATTCAGAAAATAAATTACAAAGAAAAACTTTAATCTTATCTGGTTGAAGAAAAAATTAGTAGCTTAAGCATGGGAAGTAAAATGTTGAGGACAATGGTATTGAATAAGTATTAAAATTTTGAAATCATATGAGGAAATGTCAAGACTTGGCAAAAAAAATGTAAATTATTTAAAATGTGTCGGTTGATCAGCATAAAGAAAACAGTGTCATCATTTAAGGATTGAAAATTCACAAACCTATGTGCAAGACTAACCATGAGAAGCAGAGGAAGGACAGAGAGAGAAGCTTATAGAAAGAGAGCTAATACCACTGAAAGAGCTGAATTTATCAAAACAAACTAACCTGCATGTTACGAGCCGCTGTGGTGATGAAAGCACCGTTAGCAGGCTTAGGCTGCATGTTACGAGGTTAGCAGATGGTTTATTACAGTGTAAATCTTAGAATCTTATTAAGAAATATGCACTGAGGTGTGTGGTCAACAGGCCTTAGTAGTGTTATTTGAAGAAATTGGTTGAGTTTGGGTCGTAGCTACGAGCCATACGGCACAATGAATGAGTGTGTGTAAGGAAGAGGCTTTTATTTTGTAGAGTCCCTTTAGTCTTATTTTGAAAGTCTATCATGAATGTGTGTCAAGGGAAGGGTCATGCCCAGCAGTGATATAGAATCCATTTCTAAATATGAAATCACTGGTTTTCCATGTTATTGGGTGAATAGATGCTGTATTAGAGCGTAAATGGGAGACTTTTATTGTGAAATTCGCTCCGGGGTATGTTTTGAAAAGGTCCCTAGAGTCTAATAGAAACAAGCTGGTAGAGTTTGGGTCATAATGCTGAGCCATTTGCATCAATTAATAGGCGAGTATAATATAGAGGCTTTGATTGTGTAGGGTCAGTGGAGTCTTATTTTGAAAGTCTAGCAGGGTTGTGTGTTGAGAAAAGGGTCAGACCCAGCAGTGATACTTGATGACTTTCCAATCGTTAAATCACTTTTTTTCCCTGTTATTAGGGCAGTAGATGAAGTGGCAATGTGAGGCTTTTATTTTGAAATTTGCTGTGGGGTGTGTTTTGAAAAACTCCTAGTCTCATTTTTAAAAAAGTGGTTGAGTTTGGGTCATAATGTTGAGCCATATGCTGGGGAAAAAAATATGACTTTAATGTAGGAGCTTTTATTTTGAAGGGTCCCCGGAGTCTTATTTTGAAAGTCTATCGGGGTTGCGGGTGAAGGGAAGGGTCATGGCCAGTAGTCATTGTATCCATTTCCAAATGTTAAATCAGTGTTGTCTCCCTCCATTAGATTAAAATGTGCTGTTTAAAGTGGCAGAGGAAAAATCCCTTTGAAGCTTGGTTACCTTGACAACGCTTAACGAACCTCTCAGTGACAGAGAGAAAAGCGCTTCACTTTCGTTTCTTTCCTCTCAGGCTTTTTTGAGTGGGAAAATCAGCTCCGAACAAACGAGTGCTGAAGACAAACCGTAAATGGTATCTTAAAAATTCTTTCAGTCTAAGTGACAGCTATCCTTTGTCTCCATCTGGGGTAACTTTCATGGCTGTAGCTCATTCACAACCTTAATGGGAAGGAGAAATAAAAAGGTTTGTAGCACCTGCTGGTCCCATTAAATAACATGGAGTTCCATGGTAGAGCTGAGCTGTCAAAAGCAAAACTTCCCCTCCGAACAAATGAGCGGTGAGCCAAAACCATAAAAGGTATTCAAAAATTTGTTTCACCATTGGCGTCAGCCATCCTTCGGGTTCGACTGTGCCAACTTTCATGTTTCTACTAAAAACTATTTGGCCATGGTGACGATGTAAAAATGTGTTTTTTCTGAGTATGAGGATTTTTCGCAGAATCAATGTTTTCCTATGCCCGAACAAGTCAGCTAAACAGCTAAACCATAAATGATATTGAAAAAATTCCTTCAATGTGAGTGCTAGAAGGGTCTGAAGATGTTCTATACCAAGTTTCATGTTAGTACATGAAATGGTTAAGAAATAGGAGCAATATGAAAATATGTATCGTTTTGGATTTTGTATGTGATTTTTGGAAAGTCTCTCATTGGATTTCTATTGGGGAAGTCTGGACTTCTTCGCGGTCTGGGCCAAACTGTTGGAAAACCGTAAATGCCACACAAATGAGTGTTACATTTCCTGAATCCTGACAAAAATCCCTACGTTTTGATGTATAATTTATTTCAATTGAGTGAAAAATGAGGGAGTGAGAAGAATTTGTTTGGAAAAACCAGAACAGCTCAAAAGCTAGAGCACGCACTCTAACAGTTGAAGAATTCCGTCCATAGACTTCCATTATAAATCTGAAAATCTGTAAAAATTCTTTTAACGTTTGAAGCTTCACTGAAGCAAAACTATAAAAGTTAGCAAAAAGCTGAGTTAAACAGTAATAGAAGAAAGATACGGAAACATTTTAAAAGTTGAATGGTGTTTCTAGCTGAAAGTATGCTGCAGTAGTTAAAGGTCGAAGATGATAAAGTTTTAGCTGAATTTTGCTGAAATCTAAGAATTCTACATGCATTTCAATGGGACAAAAAAAAATGCAGAAAAAGCTGAATATCGCGAAAACTACAAAAAATATCTTTACCAAAAGACATAGCACAATTCTCCTGAACAAGCTGAACGTTTTGATACCAAAATTGTTGAAATCGGTTGAAAACTGCGGGACTAGTTAGAGTCAGAAAAATTTAAAGTGAAAAACAATAAGTGGGAATGCATAAGCATTCCCACTTGATAAGTACATGTTTGAGTACAGATTTCACCCCTTTCATTTAAGCCATGCTGGCATAAAATATTTGTTTTTATAAAAAAAAATAAGGAGAAGGAATTTCTGAAAATTCAAATGGTAATTTTGTGAAGGGAAACTTGTTATGAGACGTCACGGTTGCCTTACAAATTTCCTGCATGGAAACCTAATTAGCACAACAGTGGTTACAGCTTATATTTAGTGAGTTTTCAGATCATTCTAGCTGCCTTTTTTCCAATATCTAGTGACTTTTTTTCTGTGTTAATGGAGACTGTGACATCACATAAAAGCACAGAACTTTTTCCTCCTGAGCAAGTGGATTCCTATCCAGTCTCCCGCTCTCTCTCCTTCACTGTCCGCTGTCGTCACGCTGCAGCGGAAGGGAAACTATCCTTCTCCACTGATTTACAACACTAGCTCAATCATTTTTCCGAGTGGATCACCAAAATAAGTGGTCCTCCTAAATGTCAATCATTCTGGTTATATGTTTACGTAACGTTGTCGTACATGCTTGTCCCCATTTCCCCCAGTGGTGAGTCTGACATAGTAGAAAAATTACAAATCTTTTGGAAAGTAAATGCAAACGGCAACTTTTAAACACTGTGTGCACGAGGGGAAATGGGCTCGTGTGCGGGTACGGTGTTTTGCATGTGCATTATTTATTTTTTTTAAATGGAGAGGGCGGATCTTTCAAAAATCCGCGAAAATCCTCTTTACATCTTTAATCCTTGAAGAAGAGTAGCAGTTTGCCACGGCTGCAGACATGTGAAGATGAGCTATAGTAATGATTACTCTCATTCTTCCAGTTGAGTTAAATACAATTATCTAATTCTGAAGCTCAACTTTGATTTCAGCAAAGATAACAAATAAGTCTTAAGTAAGACAAAGAAGGCATCTCGATTTTATGTGGATGAGTTATGCGGTTTAACCCAGCGGTAGGTTTTATGGCGTCAGACAGGAATCATGCAGCTTCCTCGGGGGAGGGGAGAGGGTTACTGCTTCACTAACTATAATAGTTAGCCAGAGACACCTGGACTATTTGGTCTGTTCACTAATGAAAAACAGGAAAAGAAGGAACTGGCTGAAATTTAGAAAGTAGTGAAATTGTGCACATTGCGTGTTTGTTGATGGAAATATTGTAACCAGGACTGGGAGAAATGACAACATCAAGCCAGAAGAGATACCTCAGCTAGCGTTAGCACTAGCATTAGCGACACTGCTGACAAGGTTTGCAAGTTTAAATCAGATTGGATCCAACTCTTCCCTTGGTTTGAGTTTGAGGATAACCTCATGTTCTGTACATATTGCAAAGGACAGAAGCAGGCGGGTCATTTTCTTTCTTACTAGAAACCCCCATTAAAAAAAAAAAAAACAGCCTCACAAAACATGAATTATTATCCTGAAAATAAGAAAAGAAAATAGTACTATTTTTGAAAAATCATAGTGCCCCTCCATATTTTCTGTTCTCCTAATTTTTTTATTCATTTGGAGCAATTGTGCTCTTGGTAAACAAAAAAACAAACCAAGAGTACAGCCCTGCATGATGCTACTTGTTCACTACCCTGAAAAACCCCTGAGATCTATATAAACCGGCTGGTTAAATCTGATATTAAATCATATGTAGAGCAGTTTATCTACTCCAGGTGACGTTTGACGACAGTTTGCTGTATTGCTGTAAATATGTTTGTCAGGGTTAAGGACTGTTAATGTGACTTTTTATTTTTGTTGGCACGAGGGATTTTTCTAATTCCTTTCAAACTGCAAATGTTCTTCTTTTCTTTTGATGTAAAATGTTGCTGAGCTCAAAGATGGTTAATGTTTAGAAAAGAAAACACCTAAGCCGGGGTCTTACAGTATTATTCAAATGTTGAACCCACAATGTCGATCTTATTGTTGACCCTTCCAACTGCCTCTTTGACCCTGTGTGTCTCAGGTCCTCTGTATGGTCAGGACCGGATCATGCAGGCTATGGGGAACGTGACGCTGGCGCTGCACTTGCTGTGCGAGCGGGCCAACCCGTCTTCTTTCTGGCTGCCATACATCCGCAGTCTGCCCCAGGAGTACGACACGCCGCTGTACTACCAGCAGGATGATGTGCAGCTGCTGCTGGGTACGCAGGCGGTGCAGGATGTCCTGAGCCAGTACAAGAACACTGCACGGCAGTATGCTTACTTCTACAAACTATTGCAGGTACCCAGACATTAAACTTTTGTGTACAGATGATTAAAATTTACAGGGGATTTTGAGGTTTTAACTGGTTTATTTGTGGTTTTATATGTGGAACAGAATTAATTATTGAAACCAGATAAATGGCATGAATGGTATGAAGGATGAGTCCAAGAATGTTATTTTATTTTTTTATTTTTTTTTAGTTTCTACGTTAATAGTGGCCCAGTGACTATGGCCTCCATACATGGGTGGTGTGTGCTAACCACTGCGCCACCAAAGCACGCCCATTGTTGTTTTTATTTCTTTTTTTTTTTTTTAAGAAAATATCTGCTGTCAGGTGTGAATTAATTTTGTAGCTGTTACACTCCCTAACACCCAGCAGGGGGAGACGTTAGACCTTTACAGAGCTTTGTGTATCATATTAGAAAAACCTGCATTTTTTCCCATCATGGCTGTAGTTAAATTATGTTAAGATATTTTAAATCAGTGTATCAACCTCTTAAAACCAAATTCATTGCTTTCTTCCTGCATCCTTAAGATGCATAATCCACGTATTTCTGATGAGGTGACATATAAAAGGCCCTGATGACAGGTAATGGATTAATAGTAGGGATTAGTGTTTTTTTGTTTTTTTTCTTTTTATTCATAATCTAAACATGCTTTGGTCAGATCTCTTCACAGCTCTTCTTTTGGAAGTTGGACACTTTTATCAAAGCAATAGCAAAACAGTTAGATTTTTTATTTCTGCTGAAAACTAATATTAAAAGATCAATAATAAATCAGATTTTGATTACTCTCTCCCTCCCTCCCTCCCTCCCTCCCTCCCTCCCTCCCTCCCTCCCTCCCTCCCTCCCTCCCTCCCTCCCTCCCTCCCTCCCTCCCTCCCTCCCTCCCTCCCTCCCTCCCTCCCTCTCTCCCTCCCTCCCTCCCTGCCTCCCTCCCTCCCTCCCTCCCTCCCAGAAACCTAATGTATGATCTGAGATTGGTCTTTTTTCAGTTTTAAAGGTTTCAATAAAGAAACCACCCAGATTCTTGTAGAAGCCATTGCCTTCACTAAGCCATGTCTTTGAACTAATCAACCCCAATTTAGGATTATTAACAAAAAGGAATTGTCATATCCATCCATCCATCCATTATCTGACACGCTTGTCCTGAGTGGGGTCGCGAGGGGTGCTGCAGAAGTCAATGGGCGAGAGTCAGGGTATACCCTGGACAGGTCGCCAGTCCATCGCAGGAATTGTCCTATCGGTTAACAAAAGTAATCAGCACTTAGTTTGTGCATGTTTGGTGGTACAAAAGCTCGAGTCCTTTGGGGTTTAATAGAAAAGGCTGTACACATTTGAATCATGCTGCCACCACTAATGTTCTCTGTTGAATAGGTAATAGGCAGGGGATAAGTTCAGCCTGTTTTCTTTATACATAACATTAGAAACTAAGGCTGACCATTTCTCTCTTAGTTTCTAATTTAGATTCAGCTTTATTTGCCATGTTGTGACGCTAAATAAGAAACATCAACTCCACTCCATTTCTCTATGTACAGCCTTTTTATATAAATCTGTATTTCTGTAATATGCATTAATTATATATAATCTATAATAATGTAAACGGCATTAAAACAGAGAATGGGGTTAAATTAGAGAAAATATGCACAATGCTGATTCTAAGCAAACTCTCTTGTGGCTTGTCTTTAAAAAAATTTCATGCTGGAGGAACAACCTGAAGATACAGTTGTCAGTTATTCCAGAATGTGTGGATTCTGCAGAGATGTTAACTACCCTTTTCCCGACCCTAGGCATGTTAAATTCTGGGTGGAGGAAAGGTCAGCCCTGATGCTCGGCTCTCTAGTGAAGACTTTATGTTTTCAGCAGTCTGACTCATGTAGCAGGTCGGGCCTCATTTGTTGTAGAAAATACTGGCTTTGCCTCAACAATCTCTCAGTCTAGAGTTTTTCAACTGCTTTTTATGAACTCCTGATGGCCTTTCACATAGGCGGAGTGATTGATAGATAAAATCTATCAATGGAATTTTTTTTTGTTTATGAAGATTTAACTTTTGCAAAAAGCTTTTTTTTTTTTTTTCTTTTTAAGTCGTCCACTCCTACGGCCTTCAGCGTGTGTGAGCTGTGATTGACACTCCATCAGACGCTCCTCTGGCTGTGATTGGTTGTTTTGACTCGTCCCGAATTATTCTTTCCAGATTGAAATACAGGCAGTATGCGGGACAAATTGAAGCAGTTTTTTTCACAGGTTACATATCACATGTACTGCTGTCTGGGCATAGGGACAGTTTTAGCCAATATGACAAAAAAGTGATTTTTAAAAACTTACAGACTTCAGCTTTAATGCAGAATAAAGAGTTTTAAAATATAATGCTGCATTAGAGTCAATCTGAACCTATAACAAAACTACCAAGGACCTTTTTTAATGTGAAAAACGTCAGCTTTTGTGTTTTTGAGATATAAGTATTGAAATTATCAGTATACTTACAGCAGAAATACAACGATGCTTTATTTGTTTATTAATTGCAGGTCAGATCTTTCCTTCAGCATTCATCATTATCAGGTTATATTACATGTTTACCTTTGATTGTGCAGCACTAGCTTTTAATTTGTTTTCTGGTCTCCATTTCTGAGAGTAGAGACGTAACATAGGTTTCAGTCACTATGGCTTCAAACAGTTTGGTGGGCTTGCTAGTGTTTCATTTAAAGACTGTCTGACTGATGGTATATGTCAAACATTCTTGTGGGTTCTCTTATGTCCAGTTAGATCTGCTTCTGTTTGTTTACTGAAGTTTGTCTTTCCATTTCCAGTTAACATGTTTCAGCATAATATATTTTTAAGGTGCTACTACTTCTTTACCACCTTATAATAGCCAAAATACCACAGTGCACTTAAATAGTGAGATATTCTGGTATTATCACTGTAGTGAAATATACACTATAGTAACAGGAGGAGGAACACATTGCCAAACAGGATTGCAGCACCTTTCCACTGGGTCGTGATCAAGTGAAGCTGGAGATTTTGTAGTTAAATTCTAAAAGTCAAATCAGATATTCTCAGAGCTGCAAGCTTCACCCTACATGCACTTTTGTTCTTAGAGGGTATAACACCAGCCTGACCAAGCTTTACCGGCCTTTATAGTTCTTAGCAAGGTTATTTTTAACTAAAAATGACAAATAACAAAAACTAAAATAAAAAAGAAATACATTTTAGGAGAAAATTTTCTTAGTTTGTATCTAAAACAGAATTCATTAATATGAAATATATTTTTTGGTTGCCGTTTTTGCTTTTTTTTTTTTTTTTTCGCTGTTCTGCATTATGCCAGCAGATGGCAGCTACAGCAGTCAGATCATTTGTGTTGTTGCAGCGATCTGTCCTTATCTTGGATTTTATTTCTATGCCTTTTTTTTTTTTGGCTTGCCCCTGGTATGTAATTCGTATTACAGTAAAGACTGAAACTATAACTTAAATTAAGAAAGTTTAACTGAAACTAAGCATTTTCAAATCAGAAAGTCAAAAAATCTGAAGTAAAAACTTAATTAAAAACAGAAATTCAAAACTATTAAACCTTGGTTCATAGTATAATCTCCACAATAGTGATACTGAGCTGTGTTTTGGTATTTAGATGTGTTCAGCCACCTCTCTGCAGTCGGCGGGGTATAGTGTAGGAGGTGGTTGGTCTTTCTGAACACGTTGACATGGATCAGTCTGTTCAGCCAGTCATTTACAGATCCAAAACGCTGGGCAGATACAGACAGAACCAGGAGATTAGGGGGCGGGGAGGCCACAGAACATGGTACATTCAGGTCAGTTAAATTCAAAACCAAAGTGACAAGCTAATTTTCCAGCCCGGTCATCTGAGGAGGAAGAGGGAGGGGGCGAGAATGGAGGAACTTCAGACAAAAAAGGGGGGGATGAAGACTGTTTGTGATGCTCCTTGTCTTGTCAAGTCCATTGTGCAGATATGTATGTGCTGCTGGTTTGGAGTGGGGGGAACTCTGCTAATTCAAACAGGTGATATAAACACAGTTGCTGATTTATCCAGCAGTATTTTTCCAGATATAAGGCCTATTTTCCACTGCAAGGACCTTCTGTTATTTTCTTAAATCCTCTATATCCTGGTTAAAGGTGTTTTTCTGAGGGTTGGACCTGCAGACCTTGGGTTTGTGCAGCGCTGTGCTGAGGGAGGATGATTTGAGAAACCTCTGTTGCAGTTCTCGGACTTCTGCTGACCCGCTGTATTTAGAATTTAACTCTTGTCTCTTTCTTCATTACATGAAATTATTGTAATGTTGCACAATGCTTGAACACTTTTGCACTTTTATGCACAACTTTCTTTCCGCCGTCCTCGTAGGTCACTCTAAATGCAAAGTGGTCCCACACAGCAGACCTATAAAGTGCTGCTGGCGCGTCTTCCAACTCCTGTTGTTTCCCGCTCGCCATACGCACACAATTCTCCACAACTGATTTTTTTCTGCTACACCCAGCTATGCTGCTTCGCTTCTTCTTCTTGTTTACTACTGGTGGTTTGCTTTGGCCTCAGTACCGCCACCTTCTGCTCTGGAGTGTACACGCTTCGCCTATGAGAAAAAGGAGCAGTGCATGAACCGAACGCAACACACGCGAATCGAACCGAGACAGTCGAACCGAACGGTTCGGACGGTTTTCAAAAACCGTTCCATCCCTAATGTGGAAACAATCATCTGATCCCGAACCCCTTATGAGTTACTGCAACATTTAATTTCCGTTTTGGATTGATAAAGTATTTTAGAATCTGAATTGAATCTTCTTGTCCAATAGTATTGTCTAACATTAACGATGACCACATACGGTTTTGCACCTTGAGATGTTTGCTTCAACAATTGGCCAAAACAAACCCTGTACGGACTGGGGGCCTTGCTGTGTAAAATTTTGCATTAAAAGGATTTTTATTCTGATCTTTGTCAAATCTGTACCATTTATAAACAGGATATCTGTCTTTTTTTATTTTTTGCATCAAACTAGGACAGTCTAAACGTGACTTTTAGTCAGTGGCGGCTGTGGCTTTAAATGGAGAAACTAGTGACATTGGTGAACACACGCAAACTCTTTCAGAAACACACACAAATATTCATGCCCAAATTGATGAGGCAGATTTATGACGGCTGCTGGCCACAACAAATTAAGTTGACAGTGATGTATGTGGGGGGTCGAGTGTCACGCTGCACGTACAGACCACACACACACCTTCACACACACACCAGTAGTGGTCCCCTACTCCCAGTCCTTCTTGTTAGGCTTCCCTGTCAGGCAGCCCCCCTCCAGCATACCTGCATAATGAAATCCTTGGACTGATTTGTGTTTTTCTTTTTTCCTCTTTCCTGCATCCCCAGACTCATCCAGCTGCTAGCAAGCTGCCCCTGAAGGACAGCTTCACGTTTGACGACTACAGGTCAGTGTGTGTTGTTAATGTAAACTTGCACAACGGCACATTTTAGGTTCCTAACCTATTTATTTCCTACCGTTAATGGGTAATATTTCATTTTTCACATCTCTGCCATATACCACAGGTGGGCGGTATCGTCAGTGATGACGCGCCAGAACCAGATCCCCACTGAGGATGGAGGCCAGGTCACCCTGGCTCTCATTCCCCTGTGGGACATGTGTAACCATACAAATGGACTGGTAATAAAAAAATTGTTGGGTCATTTTGACCGTTAATATAAAAAAGGGAGAAAAAAAGATTTGCAGCCCTTTTTAGCAGAGGCCATGTACTGTCAAGGTCATGTTTAGCCTTCATAGTGCAAAATGGTCTGTTGGTAAGCCTGATATTGAGCAACCACAGCCTGTCGATTCAGTCTTCTCCGCTAAATTTGTATGATTCCTCTAAAATGAAAGATTTCATAATCAGAGACAGAAGGGTTTATTTCATTATTAAATCTTGATGTATTTCCTCTTATTCAGGTCATTGTAATGGAAAACTGTGATTCTAATCCTAAATAAATGATCCGGTTATAAAGCATTTATACCACAGAAACTAGGGCTGGGCAATTAATTGCATTTGCAATATAATTGCAATTTAAATACATTTTGCAAGGGTAAGACACTAAATGTCTCCCTCCAGCCCTTTAGGTGGCAGTAAAGTGATTAAAGTCAGTATGCTGTCGCACAGAAGGGAACAGCGAGTTGCAGTTGGCACCTAGATCTATGCATTATAGTAGAATTTTTTCTTGCAAATGTTACAGTAAAATCCTGCAACACTGGATTCTGGACAAGCAGGCTTTCAGGGTCATGAAAAAAACTTTGGAGTAAAACTTTGAAATGCTTGTGCTTTTTGCAAAGGAAATCACAATAAAGTCATAAAATTGGTTGAAAATCATTTCAATTTCGATTTTTTTTGTCAAAATCGTTCAGCCCTAAACGAAACCAATAGATTAGCATCGCCTTGCGGCTTTCTAACGCAGTTACAAAAAAAAAATGGACCAATTTATTGAACTAGAAGCATCTAAGAGCTGTTATGGCACCATATTCAATTTAATAGTATCTTTTTAATGTTGACAGAGATGCTAATTCAAGCAAACACTATTTGCTTTTTCTAGTCTTCTTTTGTTGTTAACTGTTCTCCCAGTTAGTTTCATGCATGGATGAATAAAGTAGATAGCGGTATTGATGAGTACATGGGTGGATGAAGAGATGAACAGGGTGAGGAAAACCTGAACCTTCAAATGTTTAGAAGTCTTATCAGTTCTGGAGGCTCAATGTTGAGTCTGGAAGCAAAGCCATCACGTGTAGCAGTTTTATTTAGTAGAAAATAAATCTGTTTAGAATAATTCTGTCCTCCTCCAGATAACTACAGGCTACAACTTGGAGGATGATCGCTGTGAATGTGTGGCTCTGCAAGACTACAAGGAGAACGAACAGGTGAGGGGCCAGAGCACACAAATGGTAAACTCTTTACCACAAACAGATTTAGTCAGAACAGATTGAGTAGAAGTATGAGAAACATAATTACTATTTGATAATGAAACAATTGTCAAATATTTGACTAGAATAATGTGCCTTAACATTTATTTTTATATATATATATATATATTGGCCATCCCATAAATTAGGATGAATGTTTCTGATAGATGAAGCAGATTTTTCTCTACTTTTAGATTTATATCTTCTACGGGACGCGGTCCAATGCAGAGTTTGTCATCCACAACGGCTTCTTCTTTCAAGACAATGCTCACGACAGAGTGAAGATCAAGCTTGGCGTCAGTAAGAGTGAGCGTCTCTACGCCATGAAGGCCGAGGTCTTGGCACGGGCCGGAATCCCGTCGTAAGTTTTCCTTGGCCACTCCTGCAAAACCTGTAATATGGGTCCCAGGGGGCTTCAGGCCGCCACCAGCCTCTTTTCTAACAGTCCCATATTTCATCCAATTAAACACCACTTTACCATAGCTGGAGAATATAAGTTAAATGTTGCAACAGATCTACTTTATTTCTCTCCTCCCCCAATTTGTCATCCACCCCAACACTTTCATCACCAAGAAGCTTAATCATTTTATCATTAGCCTCGTAATTTTATGCAGCCTTCTCTACATTTTTAATCAGAAGCCTTTAATCTCTTATTGATGACGCTCTGAATGTGAACAGTAGAAATTAAGTGAAACAATTCCCCTTGTTGCACCAGCACTTGATTAAACTGCTAGATTTGCTGGCAGATCGATGTTGAAGTCAGGGTTGAGTGGCTGCTATTATCAGACACCTCTTAGGACAGATCTCTGCGCTAGGATAAAAAAGTTCTCAAAGATTGAAGGAAAGAAGAAAAACTGCAGGATGGTACTGATGGATCTTTTAATAGAAACAACCAGAACTGACCAGAATCTGTTTGTTCGCTGTTTTATTTGTTCTTCTGTCGATGAACAATAACAATTTTGGTTTTAGTGAATTTCCAGATTTATACATATTGCCGGAAAACTTTGACCTTTGTCCATGAAATATTTATTTCTACTAACACATTTTTGCCCTTTACTGATCACGCTATCTTTCATATTAGCATTATTTTACTTACTCAGTGGTTATTTGAGCTACTGTGTGTCTTTCTAGGTTCTTGAAGTAATCCTATAGATAGACTTGTGAGCTGGAGGATTTTTTTTATCACTTTGTAAAGCTGAGGTTCCGTAGAGCCCAGTGGTCTATAGCCTTATATAGCCTTGTTCAAACCATTTGCTTCAAGACTAGGGGTGGGTATTGCCAAAGAAGTCACGATTCGATTCGAATCACGATTCACAGGCCACGATGCGATTCTATCACGATGCATCACGATACTTTAATTATTGCGATGCATTGCAATATTTTCTCCTCCATGTTTTGTTTTTGAATGACTCGGCACAGTATCCCACGGCCGGAAATGCTTGTGACACAAGGCAGCGTGCGTCAACACATTTGCAGCGACATCTACTGGACTGGAAGTGGTATTGCACTTGTTTTTGGCTGATGTTCGCCAACCATTCATGCAATTTTATTTATTCATTTTTTTTAATTAATAATCGATTCTTGGCATCAAGAATCGATGCAGTAGATCACGAAAATTAGAATCACGATGCATCATCATCACGATTATTTTGCACACCCCTATTCAAGACACTGATTTAACAATGCCTGAAAGGAAATGGTAAATCACAACAAGGGGCAAATGTGGGTTTTAATCCTAACCGAACGCAGGGCTGTGATGATAACTGCCTGTATCTGTGATATGGGCTGTACCAGCATGAACCTACAGGAATTTGTCAACAATAGTAGACGTTTAACCACTTAGGGCAGCACTGAAACTGAAACAGATATTGCAGAACTAAAATAATCACAAAGAGATTGTAAAAGCAAAATGTATACTAGTGTTGAAATAGCAGCAAATAGACACACTTTACAGTTAAAGTGCAAAAAAAAACTCATTTTGGGGCGAGTTTCACTTTAATGCTTGCTTTGAATTGATTTAATCTAGATGCCCAAGTTTTTTTGTTTTTTTGCTTTTTTGCTGCCATATGATTTGTTTGGTTAAATGTTAATTGTTTACCTGTTAAATGTTGATTAACAGTGAAATTGGTGCGCCTAATAAAGTGGCCAGTGAGTGTGAGATTTTCACGACACCAGCATGTTTCAAAGGTTTAGTGTGTGGATGATTTGGAAAATTATGCTTGATTTAGGAATAGTGCTGACAACCTCATAAGATCCACGGGCAATCCATAAGGAGGACGGGTCTGAACTGATCGCTGATGCATCAGCGCATTTCTGTCCTTTAGGGCCAGCGTGCATTTTTTTTTTCTCCCTCACACCAAGTTTATGTTTGTGACTGATGATGTTTTATTTCCAGCTCCTGCGTCTTTGCGCTGCACTGTAACGAGCCCCCGATATCTGCTCAGCTTCTGGCCTTCCTAAGAGTCTTCTGTATGACAGAAGGTAAGAATCACGGATACACACAAACACATTGTTGAATAACAGCTGCAGGGCATCACCCATCTAACCAGGAGCTGGAAATCTGCTCACAACCAATAAAACCTGCCTCATATCCCACTGCTTCCCTGAGATCGTCTCCAAGCGACTGTTTCCTCCACGAGAGACAGATATGAGGTGGAAGAACATTCGCAAGGGACCAGCAACGCCGCGTCCCTTCCTAAGTTGGTTAATTGATCAAGGCATGCCACCAGATGTTTGGAAGGAACAATCCACTGTGGGGTTTGCAATATTCATCGGCGTGTATGCAGAAAGGCAGCAATGTCATAAATCCCCCGTCGCACAAGGCCGCAGCCGCCTCCTCTATTGCAGGACGTATACCCACCATCCTGCATGATATATTATTCTCATTTCTGTTGCATGTTAATTTAAAAAAAAAAGGGGTGGAAAAACTCAGATGCCTTTGGAACGGGATGTGAGATAGTATCGTCCTCTGCATGCATATAAGTGTGCCAACATGTCTTAGCAGATGTGAAATGACGGAGAAGTGTCTTCACACAACTGGGACACGGCTGTTCTCCACTTTCATCCTCCATCAGCAGTGATCCTGCATTCAGGTCAAGGGGAATGAGCCCAGTGTGACAGAGGCTTAAACTGGGATGATTCCATGGTGTTATGGAGCTACTGCTTTGGAATTTAGTTTGCTGCCATTTAGTTGTGGCTACTGTTTATCTGACGAGTGTTTTTTTCTTTTTACTGGTTCTCTTGGGTTTGTTTATAAATCTTGTATTAAAAGGTAATGAAATCCTCCCTTTTTCCCTAATTTCAGAGGAACTAAAGGACTACCTGCTCGGAGATAGAGCTATCAACAAGATCTTCACTCTGGGGAACAGCGAGTTCCCCGTCAGCTGGGAGAATGAGATCAAACTGTGGACTTTCCTGGAGAACCGAGCTTCTCTGCTGCTGAAAACCTACAAGACCACATCAGAGGTCAGTCAGCAGGAACTGGGGTCACAGTCACAATTACATCCTGCTTCTGATTACGAACCTTTACAAAGACAGAGGGATTAATCAGCTCAGTTACATTAGTTTCTTGAAAAGTTACCTGCTCTTGATGAATGGTTGCTATGTATGCCAGTTGATCTGTGATGATGCACGCTTCGCTCTGTCAGTAAAACGCATCATCATCGGGTCTCTTTAACACTGAGCTGCTGCTCTTACCAACGTCAGACTGATTTACCTTAGTATTCTAATCTAGTTCTAATCACTTTATATTAGTATTTTTTTTTCTTGAATGTTTGCTCTGATTTTTCTCCTAATTGTAGCTAGAGGGCTTTGCAAAAGTATTCATGATCCCAATGCAAAGTATGGCAAATTGAAGAAGGTGCATGGATTTTCTACCTGTTTTACAGTTAAATTCTAGAAATGGGCGCAGTCCTGTATTACATGTAGTGTTTTGCTCGTTGGCAACAAGGTTTTATTTCTGTCCTTTTTTTAATACTTCTGTAGTTTAACCTTTTATTGGAAATAAAAAGTCAAAATAGACCTGACCTCTGTAAGGTCAGGCTTCTCCCTTCTATGTGGCCTCATATTCATGTCAAAAATGATCTCAGAAAATGTTATTTCCAGCTGCTGTTTGTCATCAGCCTGCTTACCTGCTGTGATTAAATGTCTGCAATCAGACGGACTTCCTGCAGGTTGGAAACAGGTTATAAAGAACCTGAAAAGGTACTTGATTTATGTGGGAACAAAAGAATCGAAAAAATTGTGCTTTAGCCTTTTCTCGAAAATGTCACTAGAAATGGGAAGTTTATGGTATAAGAGTTTACCTGTTGGGTCATCCATGAAAGTTATAACCCTGTCCAGAAATGTTGATTATCAGCTCAGCATTCAGGAGCTGATTTGGGTTAATTTATATTTTATATTCTAGTTAATCCTGTTCGCTGTGCCTCCTATCTTCCAGGATGATCGGTCTTTTTTGGAGAAACCGGATCTCTCCCTTCACTCCCGTTTGGCGGTGCAGCTCCGCCTGGCTGAGAAGCAGATCCTGGAAAAAGTGTCAGCCAGCGGTCGGGAGAAACGACTTCACTTCCAGAAAAAGCTGGAGGAAGGTGCTCCGCTGCCACACTTCGAGGAGAGTGACATTGCTTTGCTGGAAAACAGCGACACGGATGCAAAGCTTCCCATTATCCTGCGCAAGTTAGAGGAGGTAGAGGAAAGAGATGGGCTGCAGGTGGAGGAGGAGCCCCTGCTGAATGGGGAGAAGGTGGGTTATGGAACGGTGGAGAGTCAGGAGGTCAGCAAAGACAAGACGGAAGACGAGTCTGAACTGAGTGCCAATCGAACTGAAGATATCCCCAAAGAGAACAGTGAATAACTGACCCCCCTCACTGCCACAGCTCAAGCTATTTATTTATTTTCTGTCTCTAAATGAGTCAAAAATGTAGAAGCTGTAAAATATGAACCGTATGTTCATCCAGCGTGGCTTCCTGCTGAACTCTCTCAGCCTTGTTTCAGGAGAGGTTCAGTTTAAAATAGGCTTCTGGTGATGTTTGAAACAAGAAAACAGTCGAAGGCCTGCAGCCGAGGAGAAGCTGAAAACCACACCGTGGATTTCAGTGGTTTGTTCTCTTATCTTGATGTTATTTTTCCTGGATCAAGAATCTCTCCTGTTAGGTGAATTACCTGCTTTATCCCGGCAGTGCGTCTCCATGTATATTCTCTGTTGACAATCATTGATTGGCTGTTTGTGAATGACACCATCCCTGCCCTGTCTGGTTTTCTTCTGACTAAAATGAAAGATTTTCTTTATTTTGAAACATATCTGTGTGAATGTATTGAGTTGCAGCGGTGATCCAGCAGGAATGATCACTGCGTGTTTTCTTCATAAAGCCATAAACAGCAGATGATTTGGTGAGAAACAAGAATGTCTTCTTTTGTTTTTCCTCATTGGACTTTTGCTTTTTTTCTTAGATTTTCTTTGAAATGGTTAAACAGTAGGAAACTGTTCTGTTTCTCCTCTGCTTTGTGTTCATTGTTGAAGTGAGTCTGACAATCCCCCTGTGAAAAGACCCGACCTGAAGGAAAAGGTAAAGAGACTGCAGCGGTTTGTCATGTCCTAACAAAATGTGGACACAGCTGGGTCTGTATGACATGCTTCAATATTAAAGAGCATAAATGCCAAAGATGCAGTTAGTTTGTGCTAACAGATTTTCTTCTTTTAATTCATATTCAGGCTATATATAAAAAAGTGGCCTTTTTCCCCCCAAAAGTTCTAAAGAAGAATTGTGCTTTTTTTAAAGATAACGTAAAATTGAAAAAGTGGGAGAAACTTCAGTCCATTATTACTTGTTACACAAGATATGAAGTCTGATGCAATTTTCTACCAACTTGATATATTATCAGATCCACAAGAAGGAAGGCAAAGTAAAATAAATCCATGTTTAATCCATAAAGGGAGGATGTACTGTATCTTTGCAAGACATATTTACTTTGAAATGATTTGAAGAAATAGAAAGTAGAAGGGTTGGGTGCAAGTATTAGGATTTTTCAGACTAAAAATGTTCAGTCCTGCTCAGGAAATTGAAAATGTGTAATCTTAATATTTTGAAGGAATTCTCACATATATATCAAAATATAGATAACATTACAGCTGTCAGTTATGGTGAGAAAGCTTCAATGATTTGAGGAGGGCTTTTTACAACTGCAGGACCTGGGAACCCTACATCTGCTTACATATATCAGCTGTATAAAGGGTATTAGGAAGGGGGAGGCAGAGTTTGAAGCTGCAACTGAACTTGATCATCAATAGGACGACGGTGACTTGCACAGCAGGAAAAGTACTGTAGAAAGGAACTGATATGTTAAAATGGTTCAGTCAAAGGCCAGCTGATGAAATTGCTCAGAGATTTAATGAAAACCAAATGCATGTTTATTAACTTTAATATTAAGCTCTGAAACAAGATGGCAGTGACTCTAGAAATCCGTTTGCTTATGATGATACTAACATTATGATAGCACCCTTTTAATCTACAATAAATCCTGATTTGTAACTTTAGTCATGCTCCTGGTCCCGTTACTCGTACGATTAAAGCACATCCTGCAAGAATCTCTGTATTACGGGAAAATCAATAATGCTACTTAGAGATGGAACCTTGAGCGAAGCTTTTAACAATAAAAAAATCAAGCCATAGTAAACCAAAGCTTAAACATTGGGACAGAAGGAAACTGCTAAATCAGAAGTGTTTGCTGCTAGTTGAAAATACACCTGTTTAGAAAATTTAGATGAAGGCCACATAAGAGCATTACTAACATAAAGTTGTGCTTAAAAATTTACATACCAGCATACCCTTCGATCAAATAAAATGATGCATTCACACTAGTAATTCAAATAATACAAAGCTGAAAAAAGTACTAATACAAGTTTAATAAATGATCATTTGGTCAAATGTTGATTTTTTTTTTTTTTTTTACAAAAATATTTCTTAAAAAAACAAACTCTCAGACAAAGTGCCTTGCTCATAAACATGAGTCAATTTTCTGTCAGCAGCTGCTAGAAGGCTGACTGAATATTTCCTGATCATTACAGAAAACATGTGGTTTCACTGATTGCCTAGATGTGTTACTAAACAAGATTTTAGTTCAGGGACTCGATCATACTTGTTTACTTGTGTGTGTGTGTTTGTGTTTGTGTGTGTGTATATGTGTGTATGTTCAAATTCTGTATCATGATTTCCATTTTTATTATATGTATTACTTTGGTTATTTTACTGACAGCTTATTTTTCTGTCTTTGATGGAAGGCTATGGAAGGTTTTTAGCACAGCTGTATTTTTTTGGCTTGTCCACCAACAATTACCTGGCTTTTTCATTTTTTTGGTCAATCAATTCTCAATATTTAGCTGCAACTAATAAGCTGCCACAAAGAAACCAGATATTGCTTTCCTTTGGATCCTACTCTAAGATTGACATAAGGTAACATCCAAGGTTCATTTTTATCTCTAAAAAACAGGAAACCTGACAATAAATTCTAATATTACTGATTAAAATTAGGTACAATACCAAACCAAAAACAGACTAAGGGAATATTATAATTCTTTGATAATACTCTGTTCTGTCTCTGCCATGACTGGCTCATAGTCATACACTGAAAAAAAAAATTACGCAACAGCTTTAGGCATTTACTTAATTATATTTAGTTACTCTAACACAATTGTTGTATGTCCTACCCTGCTAACATGAAACAATTGTGTTAAAGTAACTAAATATGATTAAGCTAATGCCAAAAATGGTTGCATTATTTTTCATTGTAACAATATTAGTACAAAATACTTTAATTGCAAGGAAATATTTGGTAAGAAACTACATTTTCAGTATCATACATTCTGACTGCATGAAGGACAACTTCAACTTTACTGATTAACTCTAAATTCATTAAATCACCACAAATGTATTAGTTTTAGTTATAAATAATGACCCATTTGTTATTCCTTTCTGACCGTACTTTTCCTTTAAGTAAACCCATTACATGTAAAGTAATTAACTACTTTCTCAAGTATTATGTGATAAACTGACTTTTTAAAAGTTTTTCATTTGTAAATGTGTTGTAGCTCCTGCAAGTCTGATCATTTTTACCACATTTATACCACTTATCAGATCCAGTTCTGGGAAGAATTACCGTACCTTCTCCAACGTGTCTCCATAAGCTGCCCAGAATCTCTCCATTCCAACCACCTTCCTGCAGCCTTAACAACCCTTAGGTCATTTAACCTTGTAACTTAAGTCACTGAAGGTGATCCCATTTATTCTAATGGAAGGTTCCCAGCTTTAGCTATTTTTACATTTGATAGAAAGTAAATCAAACATGCAGAACTTTTACCATATGACAAGTATGAGCTGGAAAAACTAAAGAATAAGAAAATGTGATTATTACATTTAAAAACCTAAGTGTTTCAACCTTCAAAAGGCTTTATATGATTCATAAAGCTTATTCCTAACGATATGAAAAGGTAAAACTAAGAAAACTAACCTAAAACCAAGTAATATTAAATTAATGGTCTTAGTTCTTATTATGCAATTATAAACCTTTATTATTCATCCAAGATGTTTAGAGAATAAATGGAATTACTCATAACCAAGTGGATGATCCTTTTTCTAAAAAATCCAGATGAATGCATAATCCACAAACATCCATAATTTCTCTTTAAGTTTGTTACTCTTATCTTTCCTCTTGTGACATATTTCCATACATCTATTGTTCTTCTCTCTGCACCTTCTGCTGGGCAGAGAAAGGGTTTATTGAGAGCACTTTTTCGCTCATCTTTTGCCCCCTGGCCCTATTAGAAATTTATAAAAGAAACATTATCTTAAATCATTTAATTCAGAGCCATTCAATTTTGAAGTGCTATATTTATAATTCATTGCTGCCAAACATAAAAGCCCTTTAATCCTTGAATATATTATTATAATGGGCACTGTGATGGGCAGCGGAGAGCAAGGCTTGTCCACTATTGTTAGTGCTCACTGTGTCAGTCCTACATACAGACCTGAGAGCAATAATCCCCCCCCAAAAAAAACCCTGCCATATGAATTATAAACTGCCAATCAGCAGCCTCAGCCTGGTCCAGCTCACTGTGGGAACACACCACAGGGATGGGAGGTATTTACAGGTCAAATGATGGACAGGCATGTGTTCACATCTGTTCTTTAGGTCTTCTTAGCTTATAAGCTTCTTTCAATAACTTCAGATTGAGATGTTTGCTTGTTGATGCAAAGATCACAGATAATTTGTTTCACTGATACCTTCATTGGAAACAGAAGTAAAGCTATGCCGTGGAAAGAGAGGGGGCAAAAATAACTAACAAACTAACCAATCAGCTGCTATATCTGTATCTTCTCTGTGGCTAACAAATGCTAAACATATCTTATACCTTCAAACCGCTTCATTATCTTTTTTGCCTTGTCTCAGCCTGTCATCTGACAGATAATTGATTGATCAATCTAACAGACATGTTACTTCAATTAGAGATAATTAACACGTGCAACAATTAATGAAAAATATAAATGTATATTTCCCCAAAAACCTTCATTACTGCCCAATCAGATGATCATGTCAGAGTTTCTTCTTCCCGATGGAAAATTAGTGGCAGTGATGTAACTGCAGGAATCTTATAATGGAAGCATCTTTTTATTATTCAGCAGGTGAATGGATGGAAGAGCTTTTCTGGCTTAAGGGGTGGGGAATTTGACAAAGACGTAAAGATAACTGACAGATAAAGTTTTCTCATGTCATAGTGATGGTGATGAAGAGAGCTGGCTTCTAACGAGGACATGGTGGACTTTTACCTCTTTACAAAAACCTTAGTAGATTATTACAGATTTGTTTTTTTATTACCACCTTAGGGTTGTTAATCAGAACTTTCTGAGATAAAGATGAGTGTATAAGAGTCCTAAATAATCATTATTTATCAGCTCTTTACTTGTCTCCAAAGCCTGCTGGAGACCACTGTTCTATCATTGGCTGGATGAAGTCCCATGAAGTTGCAGAGTTGGGGGCTTATCAGAAACAAGGTATTGCTCCAATATTCAATACTTGAACAGGATCCTTTATGAATAATTTGTTCAGGAAACATCCAAACCCTCAGAACTTTATTGAGAACACTGGAGAAATTTACCTCTGCATTTAAGCCATCCCCTTGGGGAGCAGTGGGCTGCCAGCGTGGGGCGCCCGGGGAGCAATCAGGAGTTAAGGGTCTTGCTCAGAGACCAAAAGTGGCAGTCAGTGGAATGGGGCTTGAAATCAGAACCTCAGGTTTCCAAGTTCTATGCCCTAACCACCAGGCCTCCACTCCCCAACTTATGCTATAGGCTTGTTGCAAATAGCTCCAAAAATATATAAATGCTTGAAACTGATTATAAACTTATTAAAATCTAGATAAATTCAAAGACTACTATTAGGTCTCACCTAGAGAGGTAAGGTGCACTAAACTGGCAAGTTTCAAGATGTTGCTTTTACACAAATCTGAACTTTAATGACCCATTCTTGAGGTTTTATTTGCTCAAGCTATGCAACTATGACCACTTCAACTATTCAGTATTTATTTATTGATTGATTGATTAATTGACTTTATTGATCTCACAGTGGAGCACTATACTCGTAACATCGGCTCAAATAGTTACAAGGAAGAGAAAGG